CGCGCCAAGCGCCGCTGCCGGCCGCGCCGTTCGCACCCAGCCGCGCCGACCCACATCTGCCCCGCGGCCACCCTGCCGGCCACCACGCCACTGCCCTGGCCGGCGCCCCACCGCAGCCCCGGTGGCCTCGCCCCACTGCAATCCCTGTGGGCGAGCACTCGCCCAGTCGGGCGCCAACGCCCGCACCCAGCACCCAACGCCTGCCCGATAGCGCCCAAACCCGCTAGGCCTTTGGCCCACTGACAAAGGGGCCCGAGCCCCAGAAACGTTTAAAAAAAAGGGAGTTTAAATAAATAAATAAATAAATAATAATAATAAAAATAATAATAATAATTAATTAATAACAAATAAATTAATTAATTAAGGAATTAATTAAGTTAATTAATCTTGATTAGATTAACCTAATTACTAGTTAACTTAATTAACCTTGATTAGGCTAACAGTCAATGACATGCGGGACCCACACGTCAGTTGACCCAGTCAACGCCCTGTTGACTGCTGACGTCATGCTGACGTCAGCATGCACTATTCTGGATAATGTTGGATTAAATAATTAATTAAATTTCAGAAATTAATAAAATCTTTAGAAAATCATATCTTTTAATCCGTAACTCAGATTAAAATAGTTTCAACATGAAAGTTGCTCAGAACGACGAGACGATTCCGGATACGCAGCCCGTTCGTCCACCACACACCCCTAACATATCAAACTCGCAACTTTCCCCCTCCGGCTCCTCTGCCCGAAAACACGGAACCCCGGGGATACTTTCCCGGATGTTTTTCCCCCTTCACCGGTATCACCTACTACCGCGTTAGGGCACACCGAACACCGCGTATTGCCTTGTTATATTTTGTGATGCTTTGTTTGCTCTGTATTCATCATTTCTTCCCCCTCTTCTCTCCGGTAGACTACGAGACCGACGCTGATGCCACCGAGTACGACTACGTCACCGACGACCCCTCCTTGTCTGAGCAACCAGGCAAGCCCCCCCTTTGATCACCAGATATCGCCTACTCTTCTCTATACTGCTTGCATTAGAGTAGGGTAGCATGTTACTGCTTTCCGTTAATCCTATTCTGATGCATAGCCTGTCATTGCTGCTACAGTCATTGATACCTTACCCGCAATCCTAAATGCTTAGTATAGGATGCTAGTGTTCCATCATTGGCCCTACATTCTTGTCAGTCTGCCTTGCTATACTATTGGGCCGTGATCACTCGGGAGGTGATCACGGGTATATACTATACATACATACATACTATACAGATGGTGACTAAAGTCGGGTCAGCTCATTGAGTACCCGCAAGTGATTCCGACGAGGGGGCTGAAAGGACAGGTGGCTCCATCCCGGTAGAGGTGGGCCTGGGTTCCCGACGGCCCTCGACGGTTACTTTGTGGCGGAGCGACAGGGCAGGTTGAGACCACCTAGGAGACAGGTGGGCCTGGCCCTGTTCGGCATTCGCGGATACTTAACACGCTTAACGAGATCTTGGTATTTGATCTGAGTCTGGCTACGAGCCTATACGCACTAACCATCTACGTGGGAGTAGTTATGGGTATCCCGACGTCGTGGTATCAGCCGAAGCACTTCAGACGTCAGCGACGGAGCGGCGCGCGCCGGATTGGAACGTAAGCCTGCTCTTGTATTAAGGGGGCTAGTTCCGCTTTCGGCCGCGTACGCAACGTGCAGGTGTGCTATGGGCGATGGGCCCAGACCCCTGTGCGCTTAGGTTTAGACCGGCGTGCTGGCCTCTCTGTTTTGCCTAGGTGGGGCTGCGACGTGTTGATCTTCCGAGGCCGGGCATGACCCAGGAAAGTGTGTCCGGCCAAATGGGATCGAGCGTGTTGGGCTATGTGGTGCACCCCTGCAGGGAAGTTAATCTATTCGAATAGCCGTGATCTTCGGTAACAGGACGACTTGGAGTTGTACCTTGACCTTATGACAACTAGAACCGGATACTTAATAAAACACACCCTTCCAAGTGCCAGATACAACCGGTGGTCGCTCTCCCTCAGGGATATGAGGAGGGGATCGCTGGGTAGGATTATGCTATGAGATGCTACTTGGAGATGCTACTTGGAGGACTTCAATCTACTCTCTTCTACTTGATGCAAGACGGTGGCTGCGAGAAGCGTAGTCTTCGACAGGATTAGCTATCCCCCTCTTATTCTGGCATTCTGCAGTTCAGTCCACCGATATGGCCCTTTACACATATACCCATGCATATGTAGTGTAGCTCCTTGCTTGCGAGTACTTTGGATGAGTACTCACGGTTGCTTTCTCCCCCCTTTTTCCCCTTTCCTTCCTTCCTGGTTGTCGCAACCAGATGCTGGAGCCCTGGAGCCAGACGCCACCGTCGACGACGACTACTACACTGGAGGTGCCTACTACTACGTGCAGCCCGTTGCCGACGACCAAGAGTAGTTAGGAGGATCCCAGGCAGGAGGCCTGCGCCTCTTTCGATCTGTATCCCAGTTTGTGCTAGCCATCTTATGGCAACTTGTTTAACTTATGTCTGTACTCGGATATTGTTGCTTCCGCTGACTCGTCTATGATCGAGCACTTGTATTCGAGCCCTCGAGGCCCCTGGCTTGTATTATGATGCTTGTATGACTTATTTTATTTGTAGAGTTGTGTTGTGATATCTTCCCGTGAGTCCCTGATCTTGATCGTACACATTTGCGTGCATGATTAGTGTACGATTGAATCGGGGGCGTCACAGCGAGTCATCCTCCAAATCCACACCGCATCCATCATCAGATCCAAACAACTTGAATCGCAAGAAACGACCATCACCGCCACTTCCGTGAGCATCATCGTTGCCGAACGAGTCATCACCGACACCTCAAGTCGCTATGGGTTCTTGTAGTCGTGCGCGGGAGAAAGGGAGAAGAATGACAGGGAAACATTTTCGGCTAGGGGGTTAACCGCCAAGGGCAAACAACCATTAGATTTCTGGCAGATGGGCCAGCCTTGTCGGAAAATGGATTCAAATGGCCAAATCGCACGACCACTGCAATCTGAAACAAACCATCCCCAAAAGCGATTGTTTTGTTTTGAAAAAAGTTCCAATAATGGTAGTAGTAATCTTAAACCCTCATATGTGTTTTTTGTTTGTAATTTACTCAAAATATAAGTTGTACGCTATACAAATTATATTGTTGAATTCTTATGCGAAAGAAGTCTCCTATTATATTATTTTCGTGGTATATGTAATTTACAAATTTATTAGGTAATATACCTATTTCCAGGTAATTAACCCACTATCCACATTTAAGTGAGAAAACAAACTTTTTTAACTGTTTTACAGAAACCCCCATCCCTTTGCTGGTAAATAACCCGCACTCCATCATTAAGTGACACAAAATGAATTATTTTTGTGTTTTGCCGTAAACCCCTTACCATTTCTATAATTAACGTGCAGTCCATCTAGAATAAATAATATTTTTTTAAATACCCATATCTTTTAAACCACAACTCTAATTTTAACATGTTATGTATGAATTTGATTAGAAAAATGTGTAGAATATGAATATGATGTTATTTTAGCTGTTAAATATTTAAAAAATGCTATTTAAGATGCAATTTTAATCAATAGCGCATGATCTATCTTTCTTTCGTACCAACACCAACCAGGATTGCAATAAACACCTCATCAAAGCCAAATTAGAGACGAAACAAACCGTCGATAACGATGCATGTACGTCTCGGCAAAATCTTGCATGAGAAAAAAAGCAGATTTTTTATCTTATGTCGAGAAAGAGACGCCTCGACAAGACTTATTGGGGTATAATAAGGTCCGGGTGGTATTTTCTTCTCTGGCTCTTTTGCTAGTAAATCCACCCAAAATACGATGGTACGAGGAATATGTTATGGCCGAGTAGCTTGTTTGTGACTTGCACGGGACGCATCCGAGTTTTGTTAATTTAATCTCAGCCATTAAACGTCGAATCAAACGGCCCGTATCGTTCTGAGCCGTCACAGGTGTGCGCGCCGCCCCCTGAAAACCAATCCCTGCGGGCTTGCGGCGCGAAGCTTTTCTTTCCCCCAGAAGTAAACTACCGTCTCAATTTATTTTTTAATAAACTCCCACAGCTTTGAGGCGGCGAGAAGCAGACCGGAGGAGGAGGGGAATCGGAGAAGATGGTTGTTCTCGTGGTAGCGACGGCGTCCGACCCGGCGTCCATCGGCCCCGCCGCCGCGTTCCTGGCTATGCCTGGCTGGTCCCCCGGCCCGCCCATCCCGGTGAGGAAGCTCTTCCTATCACCCATCAACCTAACCCCTTTGAGTTTCGAGCACATTCGACTGTACACGCTGTTCTTGGCAATCTGTATGCATCAATCGCAAGATTAACTTTGCCGTTGAGTAAGGATGACTAGCAGCGACGAAGTGCGGTGCCGGTTAGGGTTGGCGCAGTGCGTAGTACTTAGAAATAGAACAATAGTTGCGACTGTGAAGCAGGAAGCTTGTTCGATGAGAAAAATCCCTGCCTCACGATTTGCTTCGTGAAGGCCAGAATTTCGCTCTTTGTTTGTCTACTGAAAAACCTCCATGTGGGGATAGATGCCATCTTAGAATGCGTGCAGTAAAATTATTCTGACTGTATTCTGTATCATTATTTTGGTTAGATTTGTCTTGAAGAATAGATTCAACCTATACTCTCTAGGTTTTGATATATTAAATAGAAATTCGTTGCCAAAGCTGTGTTATGGGGATTATTTCGGTGTCTGGAATGACACTTGTGACCGGAGGCATGACTGCTGTTGCTGGCAACATAGTGGCAGTGGCTGCAATCTGGGAGTAACAAGCTAACTGTTTATTAGGTGCGTTGTTGCTAGAATTTTATCCACGAGTATACCCTAGTAAATTGCATATCTCACTGGTGTACAGAGATCTAGGATCATGTAATGTAACAAAACAATGGTCCATTATGTTCCACTCTGATCTCAGTTAAAATTACCTGCAATTTTTATCCTTATTTTATTTATTCGTAAGGTATCCGACAATGTGTTTGTGGCATAGTTCCCAACTAACTGGTGCTGATATTTGTTTTTAGGAGGGGATGGAGAGCTTTACAAATGGGAATGTTAGGTTATTGAAGCATGAACGCAGCATTGTTGCAGAGGATGATCTTGACCGTCGGTGGCAGGAAGCCACTGGAGAGGCTGTTTCCGAGGTCATATTCCTCAGCAAACACACTGCAGTCTCCAACCGCCCTGCACTCACTGTCCATCCAATCGGTTGGTTCTGCATTCATCTGTCTGTATCCTGTTTAATTCACAAGTGCAATCAAACCTCGATATGTTATGTGTAAAATCCTATTAAATACGTAAATATGATACCATATACAAATTGTTAGTACATTCGAAGTTACTGCACTTATTCTTCTAGCATACAGGCAGTTAATTATATTATATATTTTTCCTGATTTCCCTGTATACTTGAGCCTGCGATTGTTTGGTTTCATGGTTTGTGAGCAATGTCCATGCTTTTCAACCCACATGCATACAGGCATGTCGATTACTAATTAGTGGTTCCTTCTTACCACAATCATTGTTTTATAATTGATGGTTTGCTCATTCTTGTGAATCTACTTCTGAAGGTGTGCCACATCTGAGGGAGGATGAGACCCCCCCTCAAGGTGGGAGGCCTGGATGGGCAGCGGTGCCAAACCCTCGAATTGGCCCATGGTTCCGGTTGATGCAAAAGGTTGCTGCAGACCAAGGTCTTGTTCCAGAGTTTGAGGTACGTTGCTTCCTTGATGCCTTTTCTATTTCCAAATCAACTGATTTTAATACTGTTTGCTTTTGAAGATTACACTTGAAGCTACTCACCATGGACCACTTACCAGTACACCCACGATGTTTGTTGAGATAGGTACACATTTATATCCATCCTTAGTTCCTTACATTTTTTGTGCATCCTTTTGGATAAACTCATACAAGCTATCTTTTATCGCTTAGCGCAGCCAAAGGATCGGTGGTTTGTTATTTAAGAATTATTACACATTAATTCAGGGACAAGTGCCTATTTAACGTATGATATGTAGGGTTGTACTCTCCTCTACCGTTTCTTTCACAAAACAAACAAACACAAACTATAATGAGGATACTCAGTATCTCTGTTGAAGCATTTAGTCTACAAATGCCAACAATCATTTATATTATTATTTGAACTTTTGGATCTTAAAAATCCAAAAGATAGATAATTTATTATTTGGACTATAATTTTATCATATCAAAAGATTCACACTTGTGCAACCCAAGCAGCGGGATAACCCACCTCTGTAAAACATCCTGCATTCGACATGAAAACCAATGAATCAAATAATCAACTCCTCCAAAGGATGCTGCACAGAAAAACTGGCTGATCGAGATGCTATAAAGTGGTTACATTGGGTTCATATGAATTTCCTGATATAAAAGCAGCAGATGGCCACTCGTGCAGTTGATTTACATATAAATGCAAAACAAGCAAGTCTAGGCTATTGTCAATGAGTATGTTGTACCAGAATAGCTAATGTGAATGCTTGTATGTCAGGAAGTACACAAGAATACTGGGGTAGACAAGATGCTGCGCAGGCCATTGCTCTAGTTGAGTCTCTCTCTCTCTCTCTCTCTCTCTCTCTCTCTCTCTCTCTCTCGTCATGTACTTTGTTCCTTCTTGTGGATTTGCAAGAGAACCCGAAGGGTTTCGTTGTTCGAACTGCAAGATCTCATGCCATCCCCCCTCCCCCCTCCAGAAAAAGATCATAATGCATGTACAGGTTGAAATTAGTACAGCAAAGCATTGACACTTATTGGTGCATTGCCCATATTCAATACCTTTCAGCTAAAATGTCAAGCTTTCACCCTTTTTCTTGAGTGTCAAACTTTCTTTTGTTTTAATTATGCATAGTACCTGTTGGAGTAGTACCAATTAGGCAATACCCAATGTGCAGAACTTTTTTTTAATTGTCACCATAAGTCCTAATGTGGTAGAATTAGGTAAGAACTTGCAAAAAATGCACTCTTATCACTGTTTAAAGTAACCGCAGGCTCAAAAGTCTCTAAATATTAATCAAATGTACATTTGACGACTTATTTGTTTCAAAAGTAAAAACAAACATAGGAGAACATGAAACTGAGCTCTCCAATCATTTCAGGTTCTATGGAAAGGTCTTGGTCTTGAGGAAGGAAATGCTGTTGGAACTTGGCTGGGGTATGTTGACATATTCTTTTCTTTACATGGAGTCTAACAATGAGGTGGTTGGATGGCTGGTTAGAATCCTTGCAGTGATTTATGATTTATTATGTTTTATGGGGGTGAGCAGTGATTTAATTAAGAATTCTAACAGGAACTTTAAACCGCTCTGGGAATCAGGATGATTGGAATTTAACAACTCGAATTCAAGATTGTGCGAATAAAATGTTAGATCATCTGCAACGATGTATTAGTCAAAAGATTTATGACTTAACAATCTTCTATACTCCCTGCATCACTAAATATAGGTTTTCCTTAAATGCGTGCAGTCAAGCACTTAATTTTTGCTGTCAGTATGTAAAAATGTTACTTCTCGACAGATCAGGAAATAGATGGATCAGTGTTATGATAAACGAAAAATAATTTCACTTTCAATATATTATGCTTCGCAAATTAATTTTTCTTTTGAACTGAAAACTGTAGGAGAGGTCCAGACACTAAAAGTTTGAAATTACAAGTCACAAACATTGGTCCTTTAGCAATATGTGCCACAATTCAGTTGACCTTGGTTTGTGAAACCTGTATCATTCTGCATTGGCATAATTAAGTTCTATTATGCTCTTGCATACCAGGGCTGCATCTTTTCACTGTCATACTTTACTTGTTTGGTATTTGAAATGGCGACCTTCCTTTTTTTTGTTTCAAGTATTCATTCATTACTTTTGCTCTTCTTAAGGCTCCAAACCTCATTTCTGGTTATGCAGGAGTGGTGAAAAGGTTCTACTAGGTATCGGTGGTGGTCACTACGCCCCTCGTCATACGGATATTGTCATGTAAGCCCTGAGGTGAAATTATTATTGCAGCAGTTTCTAACGACGCATTGCCGCCCCTCGAATTCTGGACTTATAATGCTTATTGTAGTTGTAATGATTCAGTATAAAAGTGTATGACCTAAGCCAACCCACTTTGTTACAGATAGATGATTGGCTGTTTCTTTTCATGCTCATGTTGTGTAGTGAAGTTGCTCCCTGATATTGACCACGAATCATGATGATATTATCTTAGGGAACATCCATGAGATTCACCTTAGATCACCATCTCCTCGTCTTTGATCTAATAACCGCATTTTGTGATTCCTTCCTTTTTAAACCTGGAACACATAGAGAGATGAAGGGGGAGAGGTAATACATGTGGTTCCACCTGTCACAGCAGCATAAGATAAATTCACCAATAGTACAACCAAATATACCATACATGGATCTTGAAGCAAAATATGTGGCCTTTATGAAGTGCTCTAATGCCAGTGTGCCAAAATGCATTCTTGAACATCTTATAACTTGTTTGGATTATGTAGTTATTAGTTTAAATCTTATTATCATACAAAGCATACTGTTGAAATGGATAACCATACTAGAAAAAAACAGTTTGTTCTGTACTGTTTGATTGGTTCTGACTTTTACCTAACTGCCGATAAATTCCTGATATCTCTTATGCTGAAGTGAATGTGTATGCAGCCCTATTCCTAAGTGACTACTCTTTCCGAGCAATGTGTTCTCAGTTTATGTATATACTTATTTAGTGAGGAGCAAACTGGCAGAGACGTGAGCATTCCCTTCATGCTTGAACAATATTAGTAGTCTGATATTGTTTACATCCTCAATTTTTATCAGCAAAGATGGTGTCTGGGTGGGTCATCTCCTGTCTGGTTACTCTTTGCCAATGGACGCTCCGCCTCAAGTAAATGGAAAGAGTTCTGGTGAGGTTGGTGGGATGTGGAAGCATTCCATCAAAGTTTCGTATGAAGCCACGAAGGCAGGATTTCCTGGTGGTAAAGTTATAGCACATCTTGATCAGAAGTAAGTAGCATAACCAGTTTCTTATTGTAGTAGCAGTTTCATAAACTGGGTTAATTAGCAGCAACCAACCCACCTTAAGGTGAAAACAAGCTTGTTTCGGTTCCCAAACAGTAAAATCTCAAATAATCTTTCTTGCAAATAGGTCGTATTGGAACTCTTGTGATCTTTCAATGTTGCTCAGTGCGGTTCCTGTGCACTGCATGCCATCACAATCTATGAAATGAATATTCAATACTTTTTCTGGCATTTGGTTTTATTCGATGTATATGGTTAAATCATTTATTAACCTAACTATACCCTCCATATAATTCAAATCTCTGACTAGTTCAAGCACCTAAGACCTTGTACAATGCTAGGTGCTTAGGGAGGTGCTTAGAAAAATAAACCGGTTTTTTCTGAAGCATCGGTGCCTATTTCTACAAGAGAGACGCCTAATTAAGCGTCTGCCCTGTATAAAATAAGCACTGGTGCTTAAGGAAAGCCTGGTTTATTTCTCCAAGCACCTCTCCTAAGCACCTTGCATTGTACAAGGCCTAAATATTACGCTAGTTGAGTCTTGAATGGGCATGATAAGCTTTCCTTAATATCTTATATGTTCTTTTGGTTCATACTAGTTTGTACTGTTTGGCAAGAGTCTCCTAGGATCAATGTCCATTGAACATTGTCGAGTGTCACTCTTGGCAGCACTAATAGTTGTGATCACGTTTTTCATTTTCCCTCTTCTTTTCTGCTGGGCGGTCCACATTTATCTTAAAGTTCAACATTAACAGCTAATTTTTTCTGCAACTACTTGATAACTTCTGTCCATGACCATCTCATCATACTCACCTTTCTCTTCGTAATCATAATCATATAATGTTTCATTGGGATGCATTTTGCCCAAATCTGTTATTGTATAGCTTTGAACACAATGAAAATTCTGCTTCAAAGGTTCATTTCCGACTTAAATGCAAGCCTATTTAGTGTAGGTTTCGTTTGGATGGCGACACTGACGAACATTTGCTAATGCTACCTTTTTCTTAAGCTAACGCTATGTTGTAGTCTGATGTTTTTGGTGCTTGCTTTGCAGGAGCTTCAAGGGCTGGCAAAAGAACGCCATCACGAGCTATTTGCAGGAGCAAAATATCAGGATAGGAAAACCCAACGATTTCCTCTGCACAAAAACTTGGCCGTGCCCACAAGGCAAGCCGTCGAAGTGACTTCACCCTCCCTAGGGCTTGGCACATGCAAATTGAGTAAATATAGAGCACTGTATTTTGATAATCCGATTTGAAGATGTAGAGTGGTCCCTCCCCGTTCGTCTTAGAAGGCCTGACTTGTGCCTATACGAGAGAGGCATATCTTAAGGACACGTTTGTCGAGTTTTTTGAAAAAAAAAGAGGACACGGTTGTCTGCCAGACTACGCGTGCTTGCGGTTCCAAGAGTTGGCAGGCAAATGGGGCTATCATTATCCGTATTTTATTTCCATTGACCGACTAGATGATGGTTGAGACTTTACAAAAAGAAAATGGTTGAGACTGATACGCGTACTGTACGTTCCAGCTGGTTAGAGCATGCCAATCAATCCCGGTCACACAAAGGAGCCCGTCAGGGTTCAACTGCTAATTAGTCCTCACACGGAAGCCACCCAGAGGCGTGGGCAAGCTAACACGCTGCCATCTCAACACGTTTGGACGTACGTGTACTAATCACCCTTATCCATGGAACGACCTGCTGCCTGTGGGGTCGGTTTGGGTTGTTCATTAAGAGCATGGTTAATAGTATAGTCAACAACCGGCTATATGAATACACGCTCACGATGTTTCTTGAAGTTCGTGCTACAGCAAGTTGTTAATCTATAACCTGTTTTCGTTCTCTCTCATCCAACTTAGCACAAGTATACTTGTTTAATTCTTATAGCCTCCTGATAGTTGTTCTAATCATGCCAGGTACTGGTAATCATGTCAGTGTCTAAATTGAGTATATTAGCAGTTACACGTTAACTTGGGTAAAATTGTGGACACAATTTTGGTATACTAATGTGAGTATCAATTTGGAGGCAAGGTATCAGTGGTTTTTTTGAACACAATATGCTCAAATACGTGCACATACACCCATTCATACGAATGCACGTAGGCACACCTTATCCCTATGAGCACCTTCGAGATGTTGAATGGACACAACAACTTGAGATTGGCGAAATAACCACGGTGTCTTACAGTCGACAAGAACGTGGTGGACTGGTTCAACCACAAAAACCTAAATCTGAGCTCAAGGTATCAATACCTTTTTCTTAAAGAGGGTGATAACCCTTGGCCTTTCCAATATTGAATCTTTTTAACCAAAATACAATTATTAAATTAACCATATTTTCTAGTTCGACATAGCATTCCCTCCCTAGAAAAGGCATCCAACCATGGACCAGTACTCTTAGTAAATCATAGCCTTTGAGCCTCTCTTCATGCACGAGTTTGTGTGAGAGAGCAAGCGAGAGGCATCGAAGGTCCCTGCGACACGGGGGAAACCATAGCCATCGCCACCGAGGGCCCCTCCTTCGCCGCCCTACCCCCGCATTGTCGCTGTCGGAGGGCCTGCCGGCGAAGTCGCGCTCTGCCCAGGGATCATGGCGGCAGGGCGGCTTCGTCACTGTCGAACCCTCCTCCCAAGATTGGCGTGTCACGGGGCGCTCTAGCTGTTGCATCCTATCATGCCGGTCTTCTAGCACTCGCGGGTGTCGTTTCCCTTCTTGGAGACGCTACCAGGCCTTTATTCGTGCCCCTCTTTGAGCACCAGGGTAAACACTTGGTTCAGTTCTTTGGATCGAATGGCGATGGAGTCACGATGTCGATCCCCTTTTTGAAGGCGCTATCTTGCTCGCTTGCGGCGTCCTCAGTGTTGGCTTTGGAGATGTTGGACGTTGTGCTGGTTCAGCCTGCCTCTCTAGATCTTGGTTGATGGGTTTAGCTTTGCTATTTCCTTTGTTTGGGCCGAGCTTTCATTGTCTCTCTGCTTCGGGTACCCGTGTCCATGTCTTCTTGCGTCCGTGCCATGCATTGTATCCTCTCTTGTACTTATTTTATCTTCTTCTATTAATGAAAACACATGCATTCTCTGCGTATTCGTGAAAAAGTAAATCCCATGTAGGTGTACGTGCCAAATTTGTTGTCTCTTTAGTTTACATAAACGTGGTCCTATACACATAAATATTATTTTATTTGTATGATGTTGCTGGCAGTGTTGGTATGGCGTTGCTGTCAGAGCAATGTTTGCCATTGGAGTTCAATAATTTTAGCACAAAAAAAACCATTTCTCTGCATTTGAATATATTTTACTATTAATTGACCTGCTGGGTCTTACTATCTATATTAGCATATTCTTATCATTATTTACCCCCTCTGTTTCTAAATATTTGTCTTTTTAGAGATTTCAAATGGACTACCACATACGGATGTATATCGACATATTTTAAAGTGTAGATTCATTCATTTTGCTCCGTATGTAGTTACTTATTGAAATCTCTAGAAAGATAAATATTTAAAAATGGAGGGAGTACTAATCTACATAGTTGGATCTTGACAATCCAAGCATGGAGCTTTGGACGTGCACTTCTTGGAAGCCATAGAATAATGTTTAATGTTAGATATGTATTTGGTTGCTCATCTTAACAATCAAAGAGGGACCAACCATACTTTTTTGTTCCTCGTTGTTTACAGGAGTGTGCCTGCTAGACAGGTTGGAAAAAATGATGACATTGGATTCTGGATAAATTATCATGCAGGGAGATGTGGGTATAACTCATGAGGATGTTCTCCAACAACCCCAACGAACGTATGAAGTATCAGCTGTTTATTTACAATGTATGATCAAGACCTTCAAGAAAAATAAGCGCACGTAGAAAGTATTTATATATGAAGATAAACGAGGCTATCATAGTGTTTTCCTTCCACTGCTGAACACACAACAAGTTCACGTGCGACTCTTTCAACACCATATCCGGTTCACAGCTATTCCAAAGGTGTTGCCAGCTAGGCCCAAGTCATGGTCGGCTAAAGTTCCAATTCATATTCTTCTCGAGGTCTTGTTAGTTCATCTGAAGAGTTCTCACTGCATACAATATCCTCACCTGCTGCTTCTCATAATTAGTGGGGAACCAAACTCCTGCGTTAGTCGAGAAACACATCTAGCTGTCACACTCACACATCAGTTGCGCTAACCAACAGTTGTTGCTGCCCTCTTCAAAGATTGTTCCTTTCACAAATTTCAAATTGCATAAGGATGATTAGCTGCACAACTGGCATCATGATGGAATACTATGATAACTTCAAATTTCTAATTCTTTTCTTGTACTAGTATTTATGTTTACACGACGACATTTCTTTGCAAAATAAATTTCCACTGCGCAGCTCAACAACTGCAAGTGTAGTCAAGCAACCTACAATCAACATAAGGGCATGTACAACACCATACAGTCAGCAGTCTGTAATATGTGCCAAGTAGATTTTTTAACAACGTGGAAGAGAGAAATAAGAGAGAGAGAAGACACTCGTCTGTAAAAATAAAGACGGTCGACTCCCACAAGAATCGCTGCTTATCAACGCCCTTCTTGCCGTTGTATGGGTATGCCGTCTATTGTGATCCTAAAAAAGCTCATGTTCTGTTTTCTTTACATTTTTTTTTTTGAGACAATTCTGTTTTCTTTACATGCAAAACCCACCGTGTGCATGACCTAAAATTTTGATCGTGGGTATCCAGTATCCTACAGATAGCCCACATAGACAGCTTGATTTACGGGGTGTCTTTAGTACCGTCTATAAAATGACGTGTAGAAAGCGTATAGACAGCAACTATCTAAACCGATGTGCATGCCCTAAGACGGTAACCTCAAGGGGAGAACAGTGAGGGAAGCCATGCAGAAGGCGAGTCTAGGAAAGAGACAGGAAGCTCTTAATCACCTTTTAATCAGGAGAGCCATGGATGCTAGTAATGGATTGGATCCAACCAAGCGTGCACCAGAAAGAACATAGCTCTAGTTTATATTTATTATTCGTGCCGCCTTCGATGGTTACATTCGAACAAACCTTCCTGAACAGGATTTCCGACGACGTATCACCGGCAGCAGACCACGGTGGCACGCGCGGCCCTGAACTGACCGAAGTAACTAAGAGCCACGTTTAATTACTCATACCATAAGGTTTGATTATAACTCTTTCTTTTTTTCTCTCACTTTCTAACTCTCTCCACCTTAAATGTTTTTTTCAAGGAGGACGCATAGGGGTTGGCTCTTGCATGAGAGGCCACTTTTTCAAAAAAATTCTTGTCTCTCTCCTTCACATAAAAGAAAGTGTCATGTAAGCTGACTTATACTCCCTCCGTTTCTTTTTACTCCGCATATAAGATTTGGTCAAAGTCAAACTATACAAAGTTTGATCAAATTTATATAAAAAATATGAACATCTACAATATTAAAACTATATAGTATGAAAATACATTTTATAGTGCATCTAATAATATTGATTTCATATTGTCAATGTTTATATTTTTTAATATAAAATTAGTCAAACTTTATAAATCTTGACTTTGACCAAACTTTATATGCAGACTAAAAAAACGAAGGAAGTAACTCACTATTGTACTCTCTAGTCTCAGCCCTCCGCTCCCGTGATCGCATGGCCCATCCACAATGTCCGACTTTTGGACTGTGTGTGTGGATAAATAAAGCGCATGTCGGTGGTGGCCTCTGTACACTGAGCCCGACCGAGATACATGGGAAGATGGGACCTCGTATTCTGGCACGCGTTGCACGTACGTACACGTCAGCTGGCTGGATTTGGATGCCTGACTACAATCGATTGGAAATGTAGGGCAGTTAACGCTTCGCCAGTTTTCCTCTCGTCCCTGGCAACTGCAACGCTAGCCGCCGCGAAGGCCAATCTTCCAACGCCGTTCTCCGACGGCTCCCTTCCGCCGGCGACTTCGATCGTCGGTGATGAAGGAGGCCGCCGGATTCACGCGTGTGGATCAATTTTTCTCTTTTATACTTTAGGTTTTTAGGTTGTTCATCGTCTTTGCTTCGGTGATGACGATGGCGGCGCTGAATAATGAATCTTCGGATCCTTCCCTGACGAGGCCATCGGTCCTATGGTTAGGAATGGATTTGGAAACCAGTCTGTTCAAGTAAGGATGGTGTGGCGGTGGCGGCATCCTTGTGGTGGACCTGTG